CAGGAGGGGAGAGAAAATAAGTGAATACAAATTGATGAACCAGCAAGTAAATGGTACTGAAATTTTAACTCAGTAGTAAACATGATTTATTCCAACCAGGCCAGGCCTTCCTCTACAGTATGGTTTGCAAGCTGCCTGACCTTAGATACCTTCCTTACCTGCTTAGCATTGTTCCTAAAAAGCCCTGTAACTTGCTTCTATTGACACTTTGCTAAAATAAAACACCTTTGCTACCTTGCCATCCTCAAAGTCAGTAGAGATCAGCAGCTTCGGTTAGCTTATTACCTATCCTTCTGTCTGCTGTATTTTTCCTAGACTGCCTGGCTACTCAGTGAAAGAATTACAGGCAGAGGGGGCAGATCTGAATGTATGAGCTAAGGAACCAGGAGCAGGTACTGGAGGCCAGTGGTTAAGTGTAAGAACGATTTCAATCATGACACCCTGGTTCCAAGTGCTGAGTGGCCTGTGGCTAGTCACTGGGCTTCTGAAGTTGTTTATTCGTTCATTCAATCAATGTTAGCAAGACCATGTGCTTCAGCAGAGTGGCGGTTCAAAGAGAGACCAAGCTGCAAATCTTGAAAACGCTGTGCGGTATAGAGTAGATCTCATTGCAGGGGGTGGGGTACAGGGGTGGGGGCAGGGGCTATTATCCGGAACTTTTGGCTCTGAAAGGTTGGCTAGGTTTTTACCCTTCAGGCATCCTGTGCTGACCGTGCAGTTGAATCAAGAAAAAGGGTGGTGGTGCACGCCTTCAATCCCAGCACTCAGGAGGCAGAGGCAGGTGAATCTCTGTGAGTTCAAGGCCCTCTGGTCTACAGCATCTAGAACAGCCAGGGCTACACAAAGAAACCCTGGAGTGGCAGGGGGAGAGGGGAGAAAAAGAAAAGAAGGACGGAAGGAAGGAAGGAAGGAAAAAAGGAAGGAAGGAAGGAAAAAAGGAAGGAAGGAAGGAAAAAAGAGGGTGGAAACATGTCCCTTTTGGAAGAACATAAAAGAATCCAGGCCCTTCTGGACTTCACCCGACCACCCCTAGGAACCCCCCCCCCCCCCCCCCCCCGCCGCCTCCGTTTCTTCCTTTCTCAGCAAAGGCCACCTTCCTACACAGAGTCCCCAGCCCCCGGTTCCTGGGCGTACCCTCGATTTCTGGCATGGAGCGGCCACTCGCTGCCCCGCCGGGAGAACTAGTCAACAGCGGGGTGGACGGGAAAAGTGACATAATCCTTGCAGCGCCCTGTGCCACCAGCCTCTCCCACAGCGCAGGCCTGGTTTCTGCTTTTCTTCTCCCGCGCTGCGGCCGGGGATTGAGATGCTGAGGAGCTGAGGACTCCGAGCTCCCGCCAGCCTTGGGGTCTCTCTTGGCTGGGGAGGGGGAACCCGGGCGTGGGCGGCCGGGATGCACTTTTCAGGAATGCCGCGGCGGCAGCTCGGTCGCCGGGCAGGCTCCCAGGACCGCCGCCCCCTCGGAGCCGGATGACGGAGTCTCGAAAGACTTTCACCAAATATGGGCCGAGGCTGGAAACGTCCTGTTCGCGTCGCCGGAAACCCCGAGTCGGGGCCACCGCAGGAGTGCGGATCGCAGGCCAGCGGCCCGCAGGGGGCGGCGGCGGCAGGGCCAATCCCGTTGGCCAAGGCTGGGTGCCCTCATGCCCTCCCGAACCGCCTGTCTGTCACTCAGTTCCCGCCGCCACCACCACCATAATCCCAGCACCCCCTGCCTGACCATGCCAAGTTGTGGGGGTGGGGGTGAAGAAGCTGCAAAAATGCTGGGTGTCAGAAGGTGCTACATTAAAGCATCTAACAGACACTGTAAATGTGGCTATAAAAAGTGAACTCTCGAGAAACTACCTGTCTGATTATGGACACACTCACATGCGTGGGGAAAGGGGGGTAGGAAAGGGGTATTAGGGTGAGGTGAGGGGAGAGACCGAAATAGACAGAAAAAAGGAGGAAAGGAGAGAGGAGAGAGGAGGCAGAGGGACCATGAAGGGGGGCGGGGAAAGAAGCACTCCTGTGGTCTAGGGCAGTAGGACCAGCAGCATCACCTAGAGCCTTGTTAAAACATCCAAGGAGAAACTCTGGAGTGGGGCCTAGCAATCCAACTTAACCAAGCCTCCGCGAGATTCTGGTGTATGCTCCAATTTGAGACCCACTAAACTAGGAAGCTGGAGTGGACAGGTTTGGGATTATGATCAGTCTCAGTTGCTGCCAGACAGCGAAACCTTCTTGGGGTAATCTAAACTTCCCTGGCAGCTGCAAGTGAGACTCTCCAGGTCTCAGCCGAAGCCAGGAGCCGCAGAGGACAAGCAGTCCTTTCTCAGTGGCTTGAGGCTCAAAGAAACACGTCCGGCTGGTGGAGGGACAGTGGGGGAAAGAGCCTCGCAAATGAGCACCCGAAGCAACACTTACCCACACCGTTTGCACATTTCCCTCGTCTGTCAACGAAAGATCTGTAGCTCTCAGCAGAGGAGGTGAGAAGGCGACAGACCGTCTGGGGTTTCTGGACCATCCTAGGCAAGGACTTAAGAAGCCGCTGTTCCTCTTGGTTACCAGTAGGCGAAAGCAGGGTATGCTGTCTGCCAAGGCTGTGCACACAGGTTACAGCAGCCTCTTCTCCTCCAGCACCTCCTGGCCTTGTGGACTTCAGCTTCCTACCCCTTCCCACCAGACAGCCGCTGCTTTAAATGGGCTGCTGATGGTGATGTTCTCCTGGTTTCTCCTCTGGGGATGAGCCCATTCTTTGAGATTGCCCAGTTGGAGAACAGAAACAAAACCTCACACACATCCTCGTAGAAAACCTTAATCTGGTTTTTAAAGGCATCTATGGAATGGCGTGTCTGTTTGAATGCTGTGCAGTATAGTGGACCTCCAGGCTGCTCCTCCCTCCACCAGCAAAAGAACACAGGCCAGTTGGATCACCCTCTGCAACTTTATTTTAAATCATGATAGACAGATTGCGTGAAAAACAAGGAATTCCAAAGAATTTCCTGCTCTGGGAACAGAAGTTAAGTCTATATTTAACAACATTTGAAGCTGTCAAGAATGCCTTGTGGTTGGATAACAGAGGCAGAAAAATGTTAAAAACGCAGGCTACTGCTATACCCAAATATGGAATTATTGTTACGTCTGGTGTCTGATTCACCATCTGGAAATACTTACAACCATGAAGTCAAATAGAAAAGACGCCATAACAGAAGCCAGGAACCCTCTCCATTCTCTTTCTCCATCACCTCCTTCTACTCTGTGCTGTGCCTTCTCCACCCTCAACCCCTCCCCTCCCAGCCACTTCGCTAAGACGGAAACAATGAACCATTAAGGGAGGAGGAATATTCCCTAACTGAGGAGTCGCTGGCCTGGGGGACAGGACCCCGGGTTTGCTTTCTTTATTTGCATAACACCTGACAACCCGGTTGTCTTTGAAAGTCCCCACACCCAGAAAGCGGCTGAGGTCCTAAGGCCCCCCTGAAAACTTGTGAATGAATGAACTTAACTCTTTCCTGTACCAGCCGCCTGCACTGGAGTGTGCAATCATTCAGATAGCTTCTCATTGTGCTCCCTGGAGTCATTCACATAAAGTCAGCACTGAGGGCTCTCCTAAGTGACACTGCTGAGCTCTGAAGGCAGACAGGCCCTAAATAGTAAAAAAAGAAGAGAAGCTAACCCAGAGCATTAAGGGGAGGGGGGAATCTGTATCATTTCTTATTGAAATTACTTAAGAAGCCAGACTATGACACTTTGGAAGTTTATGGATGGCATGGAGGGGGTCTTGTGAGGGATCTTGTAAGATCTTAAAATCCAACTTCCACTGCAGGATGTATGTTGCCCTCTGAATCCCTTATTTTTCTGAAGAGAGAGAGAGAGAGAGAGAGAGAGAGAGAGAATTTCATTTGAAGTGGAAGGCTTCCAAATGAACCAAAGCAAAGGACACACACACACACACACCAAGAAGTTTTTTTCCCAGCTATCCAAAGAACACAGTGGTCCCGTTGGACTCCGTTTTGTCCTGGCAGCTTTTGCACCTGATGGTTTCAGGACAAATCACTCCAAGGTTGTCTTCTCCGCCTCTGGTTTGGCTGTTCAGTTTCCACTGCCGCCAGTCTGGGGAGGGAGGCCAGGAGGGCTTACCCGGCCTCCCGCATCCGTGAGGAAGTGCAAGTCAGCTCTGGGAGAACTCCCTGCACTCGTTTCCTCTTGGACTTCCAGCGCAAGCAGTGGGCTGGAACTAAAATTGGGAACCTCCAAAAACAAACAAGTACAACATACCAAAAAAAGAGGGGGAGGGATGAGGGAAGACCTCTGGCTGGAAATTTGCCAGGCGACGAGGGAAGCTCCCCCCCCCCCGTCTCATTCATAAATGCCACTCTGAGTATTAATTTGCAATACACTTTTCTTGGCTAATAAACATCATGCCACAGCTTTGGGACTGGATCCGAGCACGCCTCTTTGAAGTCCACAAATAGATTCCTGGCTCAGAGACCAACTCCCCCTCCCCTTTGCACTCTTAGTAGATAACTTTACTCTCACCTTGGTTGTAAACAAGCAAACAGCTCCCTGCGTTCCCGGGCGAGGGCTTCGGCAGATGCCAGGTCCACTAGGCATCTTCAAACAAAACCACTTTTGTTCCTCCCTCTCAGGTCCTCCCATCCTCCCAAAGATCTGAAGTGCTCCCTCCAACACATAACACCACGCCCCCACCCCCCCATACTCTTCGACCACGATCATCACCCTCGCGTCCCAAGCATCCCATTCTCCCCAATGGAAGTAGTTATTTAAAGTGGAAAAAAACGAACTTTTTTTTTCTTTGATACATCTGAGAAGAGGGGGGGAAAGGTGCAATGGAGCCAGGGGAGGTGCTTGGCAGCAGCCCGCGCCAACCAACATTCCTGAGATGTTTGAGAATTCTGGAACGCGCAGACAGAGCCGACGTCACTGCAACACGCGGCGCCGGAGGCAGGCGGGTATAAAAGGCGGGCTCCCGGCGCCGGGGCAGACCGTGAGTGAGAGCGCCCCAGAGAAGCACTTGCAACCTCCGCGCCTGCTCCGCCAAAACCTCGAGAGAAGGACGCCCTCAGTCTCGGCCCTAGCCTCATCTCACTCCCGGAGCATCCGATACCGCTGCTCACCGGCTTGTTGGATTCCGTGTCGCCGCACTCGCCCCGGCTCTTTCAGCGCGCCACAATGAGCTCCAGCACCGCCAGGGCGCTCGCCGTCGCCGTCACCCTTCTCCACTTAACCAGGCTGGTGAGTTGGACTTGTTTAACCACCGCTTTCCTGTCCACCCTCCCCGATCCCTCTCCCGGGGCCCTGATCGTCCACAGAAGGGAAAGTTAGCCTAAAAAGTTCGGAGGTAACTGTTGCTTTAAGCCCGGACGACGTGTCCTGGGGGCCTCTTCCTGGGGCGCAGCCGCCGGGGTGGCCCGTGTGGCTGTACGCTATCAAGACACTCCAGGTGGATGGAGCCCCAGAGCCAGACCCTTGCCCAGGGCAGTTTAGGCGCCTCTCCGGAGCAAGGCAAAACAGCCTCACGCGTTTCTTCTCCCCCCACTTCTAGGCACTCTCCACCTGCCCCGCCGCCTGCCACTGCCCTCTGGAGGCGCCCAAGTGCGCCCCGGGAGTCGGGTTGGTCCGGGACGACTGCGGCTGCTGTAAGGTCTGCGCCAAGCAACTCAATGAAGACTGCAGCAAAACGCAGCCCTGCGACCACACCAAGGGGCTGGAATGCAATTTTGGCGCCAGCTCCACCGCTCTGAAAGGGATCTGTAGAGGTAAGAGGCTTGTGGTTTGGCCCCTTTAAAAAAAATAATAGTCCCCATAGTCCAGAAGTTTAGTAATTTTGAGACCATGTATGGTGACGCTTTGTTGATGGTAGCTTGGCAGAAAGGCTCATGATTTCAGCAGTCTGGAATGCAATTCAGTGTGTCTGGGCCCAACGAAAAGCGCATACGGAAAAGTGATCCTGACTAACTTATTGTTCAGCGCTGGAGTCTCGGGGGAATTGTAGCGAACTTTACCATACAGTGAATTGAACAGCGGAAAATATGTAAGAGTTGCAGTCTGTGGCGCCTAATCTTAACCTTCTCCTCTCTCTCTCTTGGTCGTCTCTACAGCTCAGTCAGAGGGCAGACCCTGCGAATATAACTCCAGAATCTACCAGAACGGAGAAAGTTTCCAGCCCAACTGTAAACATCAGTGCACATGTATTGATGGCGCCGTGGGCTGCATTCCTCTGTGTCCCCAAGAACTGTCTCTCCCCAACCTGGGCTGTCCCAACCCCCGACTGGTGAAAGTCAGTGGGCAGTGCTGCGAGGAGTGGGTTTGTGATGAAGATAGCAGCATCAAGGACCCCTTGGATGACCAGGATGACCTCTTTGGATTTGATGCCTCGGAGGTGGAGTTGACGAGAAAGAATGAGTTAATTGCCGTTGGAAAAGGCAGCTCTTTGAAGAGACTTCCTGGTAAGTGGAAATCGAGCTCATAAGACAATCTACCGAAATTCATTCTCGGCCTACAGCTTTGTAGAAACCGGTGTGTGTCAGCATGCCTCTGAAGAGCCTTCTGTTTGGTTTATTTTCTAGTCTTTGGCACGGAACCGCGAGTACTTTACAATCCTCTGCATGGCCAGAAATGCATCGTTCAGACAACGTCATGGTCCCAGTGCTCTAAGAGCTGCGGAACTGGCATCTCCACACGAGTTACCAATGACAACCCGGAGTGCCGCCTCCTGAAAGAGACCCGGATCTGTGAAGTCCGTCCTTGTGGACAACCGGTGTACAGCAGCCTGAAAGTAAGTTCCTTTAGGGACTTGACCATGACCCCAGCACGTGGGTGGGATATGAGCCGCTCTAGAAAATGTCTTTATGAAACCTAGCACTGTCGGGTTTCACATAGTGGTTAAATGTACCCCTCCCCAAACAACAACAAAATTAAATTACTGACTTTTTTTGTTCTTCCAGAAGGGCAAGAAATGCAGCAAGACCAAGAAATCCCCAGAACCCGTCAGGTTTAACTATGCAGGATGCTCCAGTGTGAAGAAATATCGGCCCAAATACTGCGGCTCCTGCGTGGATGGTCGGTGCTGCACGCCTCTGCAGACCAGGACCGTGAAGATGCGGTTCCGCTGCGAAGATGGGGAAATGTTTTCCAAGAATGTCATGATGATTCAGTCCTGCAAATGTAACTACAACTGCCCGCACCCCAACGAGGCATCGTTTCGCCTCTACAGTCTGTTTAATGACATCCACAAGTTTAGGGACTAAATGCCTCCTAGGTGCCTAGTGTGGGGTGGATGGAGGAGGGGTGTGAGCATCATGGAGTCATGGGTGGGGTGGTGGGTGAAGGGGCTCATTGTAGAAGGGATGCCTTGCTCATCACTGAGTAGCATTAAGGTATTTCCAAACTGCCAAAGGGGCTGGTGCGGATGGACACTAACGCAGCCGCAGTTGGGGAATACTTCGCTTCATAGTACTGGAGCGCCTGTTATGCTTCGTTTTGGAGCGTGTTTGTGTGGATGACGTTCTGTTTTCTGTTTGTAAATTATTTGCTAAGTGTATTTTTTGCTCTAGATCTCTCCCCCCTTCTTGGTTCTACAATTGTAATAGAGATAATAAGATTAGCTGGGCCGTGTGAAAGCCTTGTTTGTCCTCTGACAGAAGTAAATGAAAGGGCCTCCTGTTCCTTCCTGAGGGAGGGGGACGCTCTGTGAGTGTCCAAGAGGCAGCTACCTGCGCTCTAAACTGCAAACAGAAACCAGGTGTTTGAAGATTGAATGTTTTTTATTTATCAAAATGTAGCTTTTGGGGAGGGAGGGGAAATGTAATACTGGAATAATTTGTAAATGATTTTAATTTTATATCAGTGAAGAGAATTTATTTATGAAATTAATCATTTAATAAAGAAATATTTACCTAATATCTGAGTGTTTGCTATTCAGTATTTTTAGAAACCATCCAAGTTATCAGGCACAATTGCTCCTGTTAATCATTCCAACAGGATTCGTTTGGGGGCCCTACTTTGTGTGGAGAACTACCCCAGGTGCCCTACTTGGCAAACTGAACTAACTTAACTTGGGTAACCAGTAACTTGTCTCAGGAGAGAAAAAAGGACAGTGGCTGTCTTCAAACATCTTTAAAGGAGGAACGGTGGCATACAACTCATCAGTTTGGAGGGCAAAAATCTTGAACGCGGGCACTGTGTGAAGCTTTAAAAAGGAAGCTGAAATTAAATTTGCTAACCTAAAGCAATGTGATTTATTTTCATAAGAACTGAAGGAAAGCTTAGTCTCCAGCTCCAGGGTGGTTCTGGGTGTCACATAAGGAGACAAGGGGGAACCTTTTAATAACCTTTGGCCATAACTGCTTGGTTGAACTAGATTTGAATAGGTCACTTAGTTTGTAACTGTGCTTTTTAAATTTTGTATCTAAAGCTTAGGGAAGCTGCTTTTACATTTTATCCTTGGCGTATATGGGGGCAGGGACGGGAATCTTGGGATCTCTAGGGTCCCTGGTTTGTTAATGGATGAGTTTGAAGCAAAGACTGTGTTAATCCTAATAAGCCAGCGATTAGGTAAACACGCTACCAAATGCAAAAGAATGTGAGGAATTCCAGTACTTTCCAATCTCTAAAGCACCAGGGCAAGCCACCCCCTTGGTTACATTATATTGGTGGCAGAGGGAGCATTTAGAGAGAGTGGGCTATCCGGAGGTCAAAGGCTAGACACTGAGCATTCCTGAAAGAACGGGTCTGACTGCCGGGCAAGGAGAGGTAGGGACAGCTGCATTAACGTTTGTGAAAAAAGGCCGGTAGCCTGTGTTAGAAAAATCTACATCTTTAGAAAGCGCTGACAATAAACCTTTTATAGAGAGAAATTTTCCTTTCGCTGTCCGCTCTGGCTCCCATTCAAATCCATAGTGAGACATTTCAGGCTGCACTCGAAGAGAGTACTTGAATTTTTAGACATAAGAGAAAGAGCTTTGAGAAGTGGGGGAGAGAGACAGCTCTTGGGATTCTATAAGGGCGTTTTCTAAATAGATGAATTAATATTGATGATTTAATAAGGACCTAAAAGAGACACTTTCCCCAGCATCTGTTTTAGACCTTACTAGATGAATGCTAGGAAAATCTAGTCACAAGTCTTCCCTCTGATTTGGACAGTATCTTGCCTAAAATACTTCAGATTGTACCTTTTTGAACTGTCAATTTTTCCTGCCAGAGGCATTAGCATTTTAAGGTATTTGGGATTTAAACACCACCCGGCCTAGCTGTATTCAAAATTAAGCTTGTGGTGCACAATAATATGTGAAAGACGATAAAGGCGTTAGGATTTTGTGGGGCGGTCCTGTTGGACAACATCAGGACCCAAAAGCAAGATTTACTGGTTTCCCAGCATGAATCCCGAGATGCTGCCCTGTATCCAGGGAAGCCACAAACGTCTTTGTTGTCCAGAGACCATAGAGTCCTGTTGTAAGGGTCCTTCAACTGTGCAAGAAGACAACATTTGTACAAAGTATCTCAAGTGAGAAACAATGTAGCTGAGAAAAAGAGCCCTCTTTGAAAAGCCGTTGATCTGGTCCAAGAACTTGCAGGGATGATGACAAGATGGGGCAAGGACTGTAAGAATGTTCCATTAGGGGAAGGATGAAAAAAAGCAAATTATGCCCATTTATTTGAACAGAAAACTACTACAGAAAAGATTAAGTACAGTAATACAAAAAGTATTGAAGGACCTAAGAATACTTGAGAATCAAATTACAGCATTCAGACCATACCAGATCAACTATGCCTGGAGTGGATCTTGTTCAGTTTAATTACTGTGAAAACAAAAGTCATTGTCTTTACTTACATGGCATGGAAGCTGAATATGTTGGCATGCATTGTATGTATGTAACAACAATATACTACCAACCACACGAAAGACCTCTCATGGTTCCCTTCCCACCCCAGCCCAGTGATTCTGGGATGGTTGCTGGTAGATTTAAGACCAGAGTGTTATAGAATGACCTCAGAATCTCAGGCATTCTGTGAATTTAAGAAATATCCTATGAGACACGCAGAAACCCAGGCAGTGCTCTTCCTGGGATGCTGTTTCATATGAATGCTATGTACCGGCCATTCCACAAAGAGATGCAACTGAGTCGAAATTAGAAAAGTGTATTTTAGGGTTATTTTTCCAGTAGTGGGAAAATATTTGATCTGTTTGCCATGTCTTTTCCTAGGCTTTTGGCACTATTGATAAATCTGTTGAGTAATAGTCAGCATGGGTCCAACACAAGCAGAGGACAGAGCAGTGCTCTAAGCAGCATGATCGGTGACTTGGCAGAAAGAATCCCACACTGGGATCAGAAGTCCTGTTCGCACCACAGCAGCGCTGTCAATCACTCGCTAGGCAACGCTGGGAACGGTTCAAGATCACTCTCCTATGTGCGGAAGTGAGAAAGTGGCCTTCAGAATTTTTTGGAAATTTATTTGTGTGTGTGTGTGTGTGTTTTGCATCTGTGCACGGATGTGCACCACCTGCGTGCAGTGTTTGAGGGAGCCAAAGAGGGCATTGGAACTCCTGGAACTGGAGTTACAGACAGGTGTGAGCAGCCATGTGGGCGTGAGGGACAAAACCTGGTCCTCTGAAAGAGCGGTAAGTGCTTTTAAACTCCGAGGCATCTCTCCAGCCACAAACTTTGAGCATTTTTGTTGGAAAAACAAATGCCCTAGACATGTGTCCTATGCTCTCTTTGGTGCAGACTTCTTACACTTCTTAGCTGCTGCCAACAACACGTGTAAAATCGAACCTGTCCAGATCATTCTATGATTAGATGCACTCATTTCCATAAATCCTTTAAAAAAATGTTTCCAGAACCTTCTTTACCACCCCACACCCTTAGTTCATGAGAGCCATGGACACAGTACAGACCCATACTTTCTCCTCAGAGAAGGCCTCTGAAATCTGTACCTCACAAACTGTATTCTCCTAAAAAGTGGATGCTTTAAGTCAAAACACGTTTGGAGCCTGATGATGTGTGTGCCCTGTGAAGAAGATCACTGGTGATGGTTAGCACTCATCTATGGAACCTTATACAAGTCCACAGAGCGCTACAACTCCCACATAGTCTGCTCATCTACTCTTCTAGATCAACTCCTTTCTCTTCCGTGCAGACATCCATAGCGAAGGCACCACCACCTCTTATCTGAATTATTGGCTGGCCTCTTCCCTTGTGACAGTGTGTTTTCCAAAGGTGGCTACAAGAGCACCCCCTATCCTACCTGTACTTTTGTCACGCACCCCATTGCTTCCGTATCAGTTAGTGGAGTATATTTCTCCATTTTCATGAATCCGTCTGAGTTTTGGTGCCAGCTTAGAGTGGAGGTCTGGAGTGCTCCCCATCTATTTTACAGATGTGCTTTCATGAAAGGGGGTACCTTTCCTCTGAGCTCAGTGGACTATGAGAAGCCCAGTGCCCCCCTGAACTGGTCCTAGAGGATAAGTTGGTATGAGGAGGAGCAGGGTCAGGGAGTGTGTGGGCATCAAGTCTGTGCATGAATAAACTATCTGGAAAGCGAACCCTGCTCCCTCGGCCATGCCACCTGAGAGCCTGTGAATCAGACACAGACTGCTGGAGTCCTTCTCACTATTCCTGACCCACAGCTACTGAGCAAGGTGTGGCAATTTTAAGGTAGGAGTTGTGGGTGTGGTTATGCAACAATAGACAAATAAGACATCCTTTCTTGTCCTCCAATGATCAGTTCTCTACAGAAGAACCCGAGGGACTCTAGAACATAAATCAGAGCATGGTGCTGCCCCACTGGTCTTGAAGTAAGGCTCAGCTTCTCATATGTCAATCGGCCTAGAGGATCCTGGGGTTTCCCATTGGTCTTGGGATAAGGCCCAGCTTCTCACTTGACACATGGGTCCAGATATGCCTCCTTGTCAGCAGCCATCCTTGTTACTGGCCATTGTATTGTCTGAAGACAGTCATGCCAGTGGCTAGGAAGATGGGTTGGTGGTTGAAAGTGTTCCCTGCTCTCCCTTACTAGAGTCTGGTTCCCAGTACCCATAATGAACAGCTCACAATGGTTTTGTAACTCCAGCTCCAGGAGAGTCAAAGGCAGGGCAAGCTAATAGGAGAGAAATCCAGATTCATCCTTAGCAAAGCTCAGTTTCGATCACCTCTTTCACAAAGCAAGTGCTTAGAAAAATGTTTACCGTGGTAACACTCATAAACCCGAGAAAGAATAGAGATTGTTTCAAATCACTGTACCTCCTCAGGCCCAGCCTCCCGCTTTCTCCTGCAGTTCTGGTCTGTGTATTTTTGCAGAGAAGTGCACAGCAACTCCATTTATAAAACCATGTCACATTTTCCAGCTGACACCGGATAAGTTAATCAAAGATAAAAAGCACATCCTGAACACGAGCTGAATTTAAGCACCTATTTTTATAGTAACCAAAGAGATTGTTGAGTATGAAGGAGAGGTGCTCAGATAACCTAGGGGGCCTGCTTTAGGATGTTAAAGAAACAGCTCTAGGTCCTACTTTCACTTAAATACATATTTTTCGAATGTGTGTAAGACACTCCTGAGTGACAGAGGACTGGCCTGTGTAGTTGCTTTAGTTACTGGCTAGTCAGGCAGTAGCAGAGAAGGTGGATCTCAGAGGGTTTGCCATCCGAGCTTGCCCCAGACAGAGGCAACTAGGGCACAGGAAGGCACTTGAGTTACACAGAGGTCTGGCCATGATACGGGTCCTGGGTATCGATGTGGCTGGCTCCAGGGAAGACTTCCGTCACTTCCTAAAGTTGACTCAGCATCCTGGGGGCTCATTCTAAGCAAGTCACCTTTCTCCAGTAAACAGAGGACTATTGTATATATTCCAGAGATTTGCTAGTTAAAGTAAATGCATTCACTCACAACAGGAATTTAAAATTCAGGCTCCCAGGGAAGACTTTC